TACTGCCTATGGCATCTTCATGGGCATCGCACGACCGGAACTCGAGCCGGAAATGCATTGGTATCGGCCCATCGTCAAGAGGTACGCCGAGCAATTCTTGTACGCCAAGGTGAGCCCCACGTTCAACTTTTCCGGCTTCTGCCCGCAACCTCTTGGCGTACGCGATACGGACTACGTGTCTGCATTGTACATATCAACTCTCTCCATGCCTTTCTACGCCGTTTCATGCAGATCTGCAGTCCGGCTGGCATCTGCGTGGGAGAAGCAGCTCATTTATGATCGCGGCTTTGCCATGGGTGCCGAGCACAGGGACAAGGTGTACTGACAAGCCTCTTTAGGTCCTTACGACAAAGGGCACGAAAGGAGAAGACCGTGTCCGATCACGGACGTTGTGGCAATGGTTTGAGATTCTCCGATGGTGTATCCAGATGTTTACGTGGGACGGTGATGCCCGTCTTGTTGGTCTACGTCTCTTGGTGCAGGAGGGTCTCCTGAGCCGTCTCGAGGATGTCTGCCTCTGGAGTAAGTCATCCCAATCATTGCAAGGCCGTGCTCAACAGTTTCCAGTTGTCCGCGAACACAAGCTGAGGCGACATGCGGGAGAAATGGTTTACATCGGCCAGCCGGAATTTTGCCTCCTTGTCGAAACACAAATGAAGATGACCGAGGTAGAAGGACGTCTCGTGGGCTTGCAGACACTTGCCGCGATGACGGTCCAATTCCTGCTTGGCCTGCGTATCTCCACGCTTGCAGCATCCAACGACGAGTATCTTGCTCTGGGATACGTATGTACTCTTTACTTGCTTACTTCAGTTGCACCGTCGTGCATCGTTCATCCATTTTCACTCATTCTAACGCCAATGGAGGCAATCCCCGTTCTCTCAAGGATCATTACCTCGATTGCCTCAAATTCACGCCGGGGCTCTGTGATCTCATTCGGGGCGAGCACTGATGCTTTGCAGTTTATGTTGAACAGTGCATTTGAAATCTACAAGCGCTCGCGGTCGCAGTTTGCCATCCGGCTTCACTGCGAGAACTTCAAAGTGAGTTCCAATGGTCTCAACCGTCGTGCTGTCTGACACTTTGTCTAGAATGGCTATGGAGTCGAAGCGACCTACAAAATCTTTGAAATGGAACCGTGCAAGTTCCCACAGAACACCATGTTTAGCCCGATTGCCATTGTCGCATACTTCTTTGCGCGTGGCGATCTTGAGTTCTCAGTATGTCATTTCTAAGCTTCGTTTAGTCTGGTACTTACATCCTGTTAGACGTGGGAAGAGCTGCTCGACTCTCCCGCAAGTCGACTCACGCTCAAAAATCCATCTAGACCCTTGTAAGTGTTCAACTTCCTCTCAGGTTACGGAGGAGCCGAGTAGCCCCTCGAGGGTGAAGCGTCAGAGGCTAGAGTCATACGTCGATGTGCCATCTGTGTCGAGGAGTCGTGTGCTGCTTATGCTGACAACTCTGCAGTCTTCTGAAACTAAGGCGTGGTGGACATGGCTTTGTCGAGCCCGATACGCCAACAAATGCCATGCTGGTGAATGCGGCATACAAACGGGTAATGCTCGCTGCTGGCATCCCAGGGTCATCCCATGCGTTCCGCCATAATGTTGGCATCGAGGTACGTTTCCGTGAGCCGCCTACCCACGGTCTCATGTGCGATATCCTGTGGTCCGACCGGCTAGAGGAGTTCAGCCAGGAGAAGATGCTGACTTGTGTTTGTAGAGCAATCGTATACATGGTTCCGCCACGGCATCAATGCTTCTTGTTCACAGTGAGGACAACACGGTTGCGTCGCGGCATTATTCACGCAACACTGCCGACTTTGACATGACTGCCCTCATGTCTGGCGAGCATCCTAATGCCCAGGACCCCGACTATATTGTAAGTAAAACTCGGCGTTGCTTGCTATTTGACACTAATCAATGCTGTAGGAAAAGCGCACACGTGCTCTCTACACGTCATCCTATGTACGTGCCGGTATCAGACGTGTACACGGGATGATTGGAGCAGCCGTAAGAATCCAGGCTACCATGTTCAACACAATGCTGATGTCTTCAATAGCCAACGCCCAATAAGATCGATATCGCCTCGCTTACACTACCTGCAGGGCTCTCTCTCCCCCAGAAGCGCAAGAATCTTGTTGTCCTCACTCCGGATGAAGAAATGGCAGTCAAGGTATGTGCTCATCCATTCGTTGAACACCCATCGCTCCTGCCTCATTGTCGGATCTCCTCCCATCATTGGGAGTTGTGCTGAAGCAGACGTCTTGTCTGTCCATGCCGAGATCCGCTCTGAGATGGCGGAGAGGTGGGGAAATGAAAATGCTTGCTTTGCTGATCTTCTCTCCGCATTTTGTCGCGTGAAGAAACTCGAAGCTGACCACATGTCTGTAGAACGATGCACGCTGGGTGACCTCTTTCGCAAGCGTGAAGAGCACCTGGGATGGCATCTGCAAATACATGCCGCAGCTTCGTGCTGAAAAAATCAACGACCCGAACACGTTCACCCGCGAGCTCAAGAAGGCAAAGGCCGTTGCGCCTGATGGTCTTGAACCCAATGCTTGGCAAGATGTGAGTGCTTCATCTGCCGCAAGGAAAGCGCTAAACTGTTCTAGCTCTTGAAAACTTGCAAGACGCAGTGGGATGCCCACCTCAAGGCGGCCAAGGCAAGCAGGCAGAACATCAAGCAGAGGAAGTGCCGTGAGCAGAGCAAGGCACTTGAACATGAACCATCCGAGGTCGAGTTCACGCATGAGGAGCATTCAGCACTGGTGGCTAGTGCAGATGACACGAGCCAATTCCTTGTGCATGCCGCAGCAAGATACGGCTCGACATCAACTTCCTCTGCATTCACGGCAGCCTCTCACCCGAGCCAGGCATCGAGCATCGAGCCTTTCAGCGTGTCCGACACCGGCATGCCTATCGGAGATGAGACCAGTCTGGGGCATGGCAACCACCCGTCAATGAGGTCGAAGAAGCGCAAGGCTCCGGAGGACCCCAACCCCGAGGAGGATCTTGACGTTGATCTTGGTGCATTCGATGAGACCGGGGAAGTCAACACCCTCAACTGCACTGCCGAGCAAATGGCAGAGTGGTTCTTCCGCTCGCTTGTTGAGCCTGCAATCCGGCAGGCAAAAGGAAAGGTGAGCCCGTCCGTCTTCTCCCCATTCGGGTTCGCGAACGGGTCCTCGGCGGAGGAGGGGGCCACGTAGGGCAGGGTCGGTACGCCGTCCTCCTCCCCCAGGCCGGGCTTAGCGTCGTCGCGTGGATCGGCAGGCACGCCGGTGGAGAAGTAGCTCTGACCCCTTGCGCCCATGGGCGACAGAGGAACGTCCTTTTCGTACGTGTACGACCCCTGCCCGTCGCACGAGGCACGCCTCGATTCGTACACTGCTACGTTTCCGTCTGGCCCTGCGCCGGAAGCGCGGAACTCGGCTAAAGGGGCGCGTCGGCGGGCTTGGCGCTTTCGGCGCCAGAGGAGGACGGCGAGGACAATCGCGAGGATTAGGGCGAGACCGCACCCCACAAGGATGCCAATGAACGCTGCGAGGGCGAGGGTGCCTCCCGTCGCCCCTACTCTCCCTTGTTCCTGTTTGCATGCCTTGCATTGCTCACTTTTGCAGCAGGGACCAACTCGACAAGAAACGGTGCGCAGCTCACCATCTTCCGTAGCAAAGCTAACAATTTCAATCTTAGGACAAGTATCACTGCGACATGTGCAAGGTTCTTACTCCCGATGTGAAGGACAATTGGAAGAGCCCTGCTAAACTCTTGCGACATTTGTGCGTTCTTTCCCACATTCATCAGCCCAATCACTTACAAGTCTGCAGCGAGCAAAAACACTTGAAGTTTGAAGATGCCTTGAACGATTATCTTCACATGCACCAGGTCCCCAATCGGAACCAGTGTCCATTCTGTTTGGACTTGTGTGTTCAATGTCCATTGCAATGGCTTCGTTCCTGACCGAGTACACAGGTGGGGAAGAAAATCTCAATGCATCAACCATCTCGAGAAGATCCATACGGACGCATACCAGCGCATTCTTCAGGGAGAGTATGCCCTTGAAGACATCAGACTCGCCAGGGCCGAAGAGGGTGAAATAAACTCTGAGCGACGCGAGAGGTGGGATGCTCTCATTGATGCCGCCGAGCGGTATGATGATGCCCTCGCTCGAGCTCGCAATTATGCAAAGGTATACATCAGCCAGACAGAGACTTAGCAACGTGCACAATGGTAATCACAACATGCGTATTATTCATGCAAACATCACTCCCACAGTTACACGGCGGTTGGATACAGTAGTAACGAGTGTGTTTGAAGGCAGTTAGTCTCAGTTCGGCGAAACGGAAGTCAAAATGTCCATCAGATAAAACATTGTCTTCAATCGAGTTCAGACATATGCTTGTCAATTTTCGAAATAGATCATCATTGGAAAAGAAAGCTCTTGGAAGTCGCGGAAGGATTCAAAGCTGCTCACTCCAGGGATTTCTGCCGGGAAGAAGAGCACTTCCTAGCAGCAGGAACAGACGCCATCCTAACAGCTTCATCTCAAGCAGGCAATATGGCCAGATGGGCAACGTTTCACAGCAGGCGCTGTGTGCCGCCAAAAAAAGGCGGCATGTAGGTCGTCGCTCGGGATTCACTACGCGGCCCGCTAGCCCGCGGGCCAAGCTGCATGGGTCATCAATGCCGTATATAGTTAGCAATGCCTATCATGATACAAAGAAGATAATGAAGGTGAATCAGCTGGTGATGCATGTTTGGAGCATGGCTCATTCCTCGGTCGCCCGCTCGAAGATGGGATGTTATCATCAAATAAAAGGTTGAAGAGCCTCCGACTCGGTCGATAAGGCACGGAGAAGGCTGCCGCGCATGCCAGGCGGACGCTTCCGATGTCGATTCTACATCGGTCCGACATCGGACGGACTCTGCAGGGACGCCATGCGCGACAATTTTGAGCGCGTCCCTTTTCTCGTGAGGTTCGAGAAAAGGGTCTGCTGACAAGAGAGGGATTCGAACCCCCGCCCATTCGTGTGCAGCTCGAACGCGAAAAACGCCAGCGCTGTAAGACGAAAGTGATAACCACTACACCATCCTGTCATCGCACTACGGCATCCCCCATTTAGCTTTTATGAGCACTTTTATATGCCCATCGTCACAACTCATATTGGGGATTCGATCCCCAATACTGTAAGACGAAAGTGATAACCACTACACCATCCTGTCAATCACCGGAGCGATGCCCATGTTTGCTCCTTGAGATTAATATAACAGGTGATCGGGTCATATAAGAGTTTATTCAACGTTGGTTACATTCTTTATGTTAAAGCCTACGTTAAAACCGTTCACTGCTCAAACGAGCCAGTGAGCTGAATATCGCGGGAAGATTTACCAATGTACACCGTAAATGTTCCGCTCGGTATAATCCAACTCTGCGAAATGACATCCCTAACGGCATGGATTAGTTTGACCGCGAACTTGTAGAGCAGACGCGTTCGGCCTACCATATACTGATATCCTTCCGCAGGAGGGTCATGGAAACAGTGCTGGTCTCTTCGGCTTTGATCCAGACTCGGTTGAACTCCCTGAGAACTTTGGGTGGTTCCATCGCACTCTCTGGGAAGCCCAGATACAGCTGTGCGACCTCATAGCCATCTCGCAAGCCAGAATTCGTAACCTTGAATGTGACCGTGTACATGGTGTCCGAAAACGAAAGAGGACCTCCAGGGTAGGTTTGGTTGAGGTACGGATTGTATGTCGCCGTAGGAGCCATGGACGTGTCCGTCACCCACCTCGCATCGAAGTTATTGACATCGTCCCTTTTGCTGATACCCTGGCCGTACAGAGACAGTGAACTGTAGTTGAACGTTGTATAACTCAAGCCTGAATCATTCGTAAGCTAGCATCTCAAATATTTTAATCCGCTTACCGTAGCCAAACTCGTATCGCGGAACGATGCTTTGCGCATCGAACCATCGGTAGTCAATCATTAAACGCTCATAATACGTGATCTGGGGCGTGGTCATGTTGCTTTCGTATAGCACGTCGGCAGGATAGTCTCCACGCTGCCTTGCAAGTGTGTACGGAAGGCGGCCACTTGGATTCACCGCGCCAAACAACACATCGACCAGACTGTTGCCCGTCTCCTGTCCAGGTAATCCGGCCCAAAGCACGGCAGTCACATTGGGGTTGTCGATCCATTCCTCAAGCAACACTGGGCCCACTGAATGCACGACAACAATGGTATTGGAGCAATAGGAGGTGGACGCGTTGATGACCGCTTCGCCACTGTGCCAGAGGGTGAGATTGTTGCGGTCGCCTTCGTTGGTGTCAACAGTGATCTGCGAAAACGATCAACATTGCGCATGACCGCGTTCAAAGGCATGGACTCACGTATTCTTCACCACTATCGGCGTTTACGAAGGCCAGGCAGATATCTGCTTGACTGGCAACTTGATTGATTGAGGCGTAATCGTAATCGTCGAGCACGCTCTCGATCATGGTATCCGGTCGATTGTTATAGACATACCACGTGATCGCCATGTTCGGATCGATGAGGTATGGGAACTGGAAAGGTTCAGGAATGCAACGGCATGGGATGCGTTAAGCTCACATTTGCAGTCCCGGAGCCCCAGCCCATGGCCAGCGTGCCTTGATCACAACCACGGCTAGTGAGCGTTAGACTGGCGAATTGGACAAGCATCTAATGGCGTACTCAGCGCAACCGTTCGGACCCTGCGGATTCGGACCTGCGTCGGATCTAGCAGCCTTTGTTCAGAAAAACCCATCGCTTCCGCAGGAAAGCAGCCAGCCCACCCGAAGATACCGTAGCGACTTACGAAACGTGAGTTGTTGCCCGCGCATATGAGGAAAAATGGAACGCACCGATACTTGGTGACATCAACTGGCAACACACCTGTATTCTTCAGCATGACAATCGATGCCGCTCCGATCTCTCGGATGAGCTGGCCGTGATTTTCCATGACGTTGACGTGTTCATTGACGAGAACTCCGTTCAGATAAGTGTCCTGTTATCCGCGCGGGTCAATGCCGCAGGTGCAAACATAATCCTGGCTACTGACTTCTGTTTGATAATTGAAATTTGGGGTCCTGGTCAAGTCCTGGCCGGTGAAGAACAAAGCAGCAAATGCTACCAGCAGAGTCAGTGTCAAGATGCATGCTTTCGGTGAAATGATTACCCCTGGTCACCTGCATAATGCACTTAGAACAGTTCATGGCAGACAAGACATGTACGAACCATGTCATCCACTCTAGACTCCGGCACAGAGCCATTCATGACTGCAGTGATCAGGTTGGAGCCCCACCAGGAATATGTGGTATTGTCCGGATTGCCTTCGTTTGGAAGACTTGCGCCTCCATTGTATGGCCCGGTACCAAAGTAGAAAAACCCTGGGCTGTGGGCCGATGTCAGCAGGCCAGTGAGGTTTTAACATGGCAACTCGCATGTTCTAGTTCGGCATCAGCACATGAAAGTTTGTTTCGAAAACGAGGCACCATATCTAGGCCAGCAAGAGCTGTATCTACCCCGCTCCGCACCGCAGCAGCATCGCTAACAATGAAACCTTGGAAGTCCAGCTCCTCCTAAGTTGCCTGTCCAGTGAGGCATAGCTCTGTTCAGAAGCGTGATACACACCTTGATGATGCCGTTCAGAAGTTTAGAGTTCTGGCAATTCTGGCTGGATGCCAGTCAGCAAGGTTGTGCAACAACGGTCGGCATCAACGCACGTCTGGTTGACCCTAGCAACACAAGTCATTCACCGTCGCGCTTAAAGGTTTCGGTTAAGGAACACATACTTGTTGTAGGAGCACCTGAAGGGAGAGGGTTACGTCACCTTCTTGCATGAGAGAGAAGGCTCACATGATGGATGCGGCGCCTGCCCTTATTCCCTCGGCAAATGGCCAGATCTGTCTATCGTCATTATCCGGCGTGGCGCTGTAACGAGCGTAAGCTCACATAAAGCTAAGAGTGATGAGCTGCACGTCATGATCCGAATATTCAGGAAGCAGTACCTCATGGGCCGTGCGATCGTCTATATTTGAGCTGTAGATCTGCTCCGAGCTGCTTCCTCCACCCCGATAATGCTCCTGTTCGTTGCCGTAGCTGCGCGGACTGAGCGCTTGTACCTCTTCTGCTGTACGCTTGTACTCACAAATGCTATCCAAGTTGAGCGACGTCATGCAGAAAGTCAAAAGGATACGAACTTTGACACAAGCGATCACATTGTTGTCTTGGATGCCTAGAACCGTCTGCGCCGTGGCGACACCGGCCAAGTAGGGATCTGCCCCAAAACCTTCCCAGTTTCTGCCACCCGCAGCTACACGTCCCCTATTTCACGCATCGTCGGTTACCGTTAGACTCAATAATCAGAGATCCAGCTAACAGGTTGGTCATCGGCCCAAAGATCATGTTCACTCCTTTGCCCAGGTGCTCGGCACCCATTGCGAAGCCACGATCGTACATGAGCTGCTTGTCCCACGTGGCGGCAACATTGATCCCGGCCGGACTGTGTCTTTACATGAGACGGCGCAGAGATATGGAAAGAGCTGGTACGTACAATGCAGAAGCATAGTCCGTGTCCCGTACACCAAGAGGACTGTCTTGCAGACAGAACCCGGAAAAGTTGAACCTGGGAAGCGCCTGCGGAACGGGTCAAGGTAGATTCTTCCTAGGCACAGCCGAAACAGCCCACTCCCGTGCCATCGACGCACGCGAGGTTTCCGCCTGTATTGTAACTGGGTCTCAGGCTAGTCTTCCTGGAATAAGATGCTCACCAGCGCCCGTAGTGATGTTGATCTTCTCATCCAGAGTGAGCTGAGAAACGAGGTCACGTGCACGGGCCACCGCAGACGCCCAGGGACCATCTCCGCTGACTGGCTTCGCGGGAACCACCTTTTAAGGAATCAGCCAGAGGATGTGATAGTAGCAGACGACGATGACAGACAATGGGAGAAATCCATTCTTCGAAACCTGGCGGGGCAGAATCAGGAACACCGCTCACTATATCGCCGAAAGCCACAGGCCACAGAGCCACCAGCACAAGGCAAATGAGCAGAGACATCTAGAAAGGGTGAGGAATTGATCAACGTGAGCTTTTGGCCTTCTTATGTGGGGCCCACCGTGCCCATGAGCGGTACATCGGGCCGCAGCGGAAATGCTTCTGATCAGCTGGTAGAAGGTGAAATGCATCATCATTCTCATACATTCTCTTCCGGAGAGACGACATACCATATAGAGCTTCGCCCGTTGCTTTCCATGGCCGTTGTTCTGAACACTAGACCGAATTACACATGAAGGAAGCTCAGAAGATCGTGGACGAAGTGGAGGTCACACGCGTGCGGCCATTTCTCGGGAAGCGGTAGTCATTTGTTATTCCGACCGATGCGAAGGCAGGAATCGAAGCGATTTGCTGTGTCATCAAACTCGTGTGCCCGGGGTGGGTCGGAGAGCTGAACATTAAAGCACATCGTTCTGTACATGCACTCTTCGCTGCGATGATAAGAAGTACTCTTGTCCCAGAAATAATATAACGCAGCACAAACGCCTAGATCGGCATTCACATCGACTCTCTCCATTTCGCGTAGTGCCGCTGGCACCAACCTCAGAGTAGAGGGCGATCGAAATCAAGTTAGCAAGAATACAAGGTGGAAAAAGGATCGGAATCAAAATGAAGGCCCCTTCGACGAAATTCACTTTCAAGCTCCGACATTCAGCCTCTTCCGGCACCATGTTGCCATTCTCCGACACGCGGGTGCTTCCCGACGAGGTACTGGCAACCATATTCGAGCATATTGTTGCGATATGGGAAGACGATCAAGATCATGACTTCACTGCGCTTGGACAAACTCTGAAGTGTTTGACTGTCACTTGTCGCAACTGGCGGGAAGTCGCTTTATCAACTCCCAGGCTCTGGCGGAACATCTACAATGCCGACCCAGGTGAAGGCGACTGGTATTCACCTGAAGATTTATCCCCAGAAGATAGTCCAACGCTGGCCCCTACTTACACCGCAAACTCATACCGCTCGGTGGATGCGGGCGCTGCATATTTCTCTTTCGAAACGTGCCTGCGGAGGAGCGGC